GTAAACAGATCCAACAAGTGTCTGAGGTAGGAAGCTACTATGCTGTGTGATTTCCATGTGTTTTCTTGTCTGATACTTAGTGGGCATGCAAAAGATCTTGAATTTCCCCTCCTTGAATAGCATAGCAACATTCCAGAGACTAGGACTTGGGTTGAAATTCTGGATCTACAATTTGTTAATCAAGGAGTTTGAGGAAGATTGCTTCATAATTTTCTTGTTTAATTTCCTCATTCCTGCATTTGACTGAGACTAGTATCTACTAAAATGGTTTCTATGCGAAATAAATGAAATGATTACTGCATTTATTACACAGATACTTTTTAATTCTATGCAATCTCATTAGTCAATTATTATTATCATTACTTTTATTGTGGGAAGGCACATGTGTCACAGTGCACATGCTCACAGGGAAAGCAGACAACTTCATGGTACAATTTCTCTCCTTCCACATTTACATGGGTTGTGAATATCAAGCTTTATTACCAGGCTTATACAGCATGCACCTTTACTGGCCAATCTCCCATTCTTGTTAATTCTTGGAATTACTCAACTATTGGAGTACTTTAGAAAGTCCTTGTCCATGTCTATCCTTGAAGTGGTTTATCCATTTTTCTCTAACACTTTCAGAATTTCATCCTATATTGATTGAGTTTGAACTAATTTCACACCAGATAAAAGACCTAGGTTGATTCTTCTACATATAGATGTCTTTTTCCTCGGCACCGTTGATAAAGGTGTCTTTTCATCAATGTGTTTTGAAACCTTTGTCAAGTTACATAGCTGTAGTTCCGTTGTTTCTTTCTGTGCTCTCAATGCTATTCGGGTGGTCTGCAGACCTCATTTTGTCAGTAAAATGCTGCTTTAGTTCCTAGGACTCTGTCTTCTACTTTGAGATCAGATATTGTGAGACTGCCTGCCTTGCTATTTTTACTCAGAATCATGTTGCCCACGCTTTGTGATTCTGCATGAGTTTTAGGATTGCTTTATTCTAGTTCTATGAATAACGACATTGGCATTTTGGAGGTGATTTTCAGACTGTAGATCCTCTCAATACTGTAGACCTTTTCACAATATTGATTCTACTATGTAAGTATCAGGGTCTGGATATTTTCTAGAGTCACTGTCAGTTTCTTTACCCAGTGTGTTTAAGTTTCTATTGCAGAAGTTGTTTACCCTCTTGGGTCGATTGATTCTTGACTGTGTATTTTTAAAAGCTTGTGAATGTTATTTGTTTCATTATTTTCAGAGTATTCATTTTGGTGTATAAAAGAGCTACTGATTACATACGTTGAGTTTTCTAACCCTCTACTATTCTGAAAGTGCTTATCAAATGTGAGTTTTTATGAAGTCTTAGAGCCTGTTAAGACTATAGCATACCATTTGTGAATGGGGATATTTAACATCAACCATTTCCACTTCATTCTCTCTGCTTAGTGCTTGCAGTTCGAGACGTCATCTCTCAGCTTCCTGCTCTTGCCATAATGTATGTCTCTTGCTGACCTATATTCTCACCATGATAGACTCTTATGCCTCTGGAAACAAAAGTCAATTAAATTCTTGATTTTGAAAGTTGCCTAGTTATGGTGGTTTATCATAGCCAAAAAGAGGGGGGAAGTAATTAACACACCAACTTTGTCTTGTCCCAGATTTTAGGAGAAATACACTATAACATTGGATAAAGTTTAATCATGAATAGCCTTTATTACATTGTGGATGCTCCTTCTAGTCTCTTCGGGGATTTTATCATGAAGGGGTGGTGGATTTTGTCAAAAATCTTTTTCTTCATCTATTGAGATAATCATGTGATATCTGTCTCTAAGTCTATTTATGTGATAAGTTCAATCTGGTAATAGGTATATATTAACTCATACTTAAGCCCATGGAATGAGAACAAGCTGATAATGATCTACACCATTGCCTTAAATGTGTGCTGGTTAGTTTACTTGTCAAGTTGATAAAAACCTGTCGCCTAGGAAGAGAAAACCTCAACAGGAATTTTCTCCATCAGACTGAACTGTGGACATGTTGATGTTGATTTTCTTAATAAAATATGTTGTTGGATACAATTTCTAAGTATTTTGCTGAGCATTATTCCATCTTTGTTCATCAGGAAAGTCAATCTATGCTTCACATATTATGTAGTATCATTATCTGATTTTGGTATCAAGGCAATGATGACTTCATAGAATAGTTTAGTAGAATTCTTTAAATTTCTTCTTCATGAGACATTTTGAAGATCATTAATGCATAAGACAACTCAGAACCAAAAAGATAAACATCACATGTTTTATCTCATTTGTAAATGTTAGCTTTGAGTCTTCAGATATGTGTGCTTCATTTGGATACCAATAGAAGTCAGCAGATTAATAAAGAGTAATGATGAATAGAATTCAGCAGTCCAAAGGTTAATGGGGAATTATATATCAGGAAGGGTTAAATTGGGATTAAGTGTGGAGGGTAAGATAGAGATTGTGGGGAGGGATAAATAGGTCTAACAGCCTTTCAAGTAACTCATAAGGAAACTTACCAATGTAGAATCTTCTTAAAATGCAATCCACACATATACACGAAAGTTAAAATGGAGTTAGTTACCCTGTGATATGGTGATAAAGTTCCTACTAGATACCATGGGCTACTAAATAAAAACCCAGAGATCAGAAAAAGTTAACTTTTTTGGAGATGTTGGCGATGGAGATATTTAAAGACACCCAATTACAGGATATTGCCTATGTTCTTTCTTGCCCTCCAGGACTTGGTAAGAGCCAGAAGTGGTAGATGATTGTAGGGACACAGTGTTTTCAGACACACCAGGGAAGTCACAGCAGTTTTGACAGCACATACAGAACTACACACACTCAGTGTAGATAAAATCTCAACAATAAGGGGGTGCAGGCACAAATACTGCCCCACCTCTAGTTGATAAGTCACGGCCATTGGCAGATTTTGGGAGAGAGAGAGTCAGCTGTAGTAATACGGGCGGCGGGGCTGCGTCCCCAACACCCCAGCCGCCTGCATGGCTTATGCCCGAAATAACAACACACAAACTGTATTCATTTAAACACTGCTTGGCCCTTTAGCTCTAGCCCTTACAGGCTAATTCTCACATCCCGATCAACCCATCTCTAATAATCTGTGAGCACCGGTTTTACCGGGAAAGGTTCAGCATGTCTAACCTGGCGGCTTGCTTCATTGCGTGTGTCTGCCCAGGAGCGGGGCATGGCGTCTCTCTGAGGCATCTGCCCCCGAGAGGAAAGATGTGGAGTCTGAGCTCACTTCCTCTTCCTCCCAGCATTCTGTTCTGTTTACTCCTCCCACCAATAAAATGGGCCAAGGCAGTTCCTTTATTAGCCAATGACCTTCCTCCATCAGTCAGCTCTCCAATTTTATAATAAAAGCATTTAAAATTGCAAACAGTTCTTTTAGAATGTGGTTTTTAATTTTTTGCATATTTCAAAATGCATGTAATTTTTGCTGTTTGTCAAGAATATGTTATGGCATCTGTATGGATGTCATAGCAGAAATTGTGGGTGTCAATTCTCCCCTACCACCATGAAAGTCCTGGGGATTGAATTCAGGTTGTCAAGCATGGCAGTCTGTGCCTTTACCCACAGAGTCAACTAGTCATCCTAGACCTGTTTTTGATGTACCTCAAAGGTGGTGATAGTGCATGCTTTCATTTTAAACTTGAGTCTATGAAAATTAATGTTCTCCCATGCTTCTTTTTCAATGAGTCTCTGGCCTTTTTTCTATATTCATGTAACTGTGTAGTTTCTGTAGTTTTTCTTGCTGTGGGTTTCTAGCTGTAGACTGCTATGATGTAATAGGATAAAAGATACCATTTCAATTCTTTTATATTGGGGGGTAACTAATGTGACCTGCTTTAGAGGATGTTCCATGTGCTGCAGAAGACTGTATACTCCACAACTCTAGGGTGCAATATTCTGTAACGGTTTGCTAAGTCCATTTGAAACATGTCCATTTTAATTCTGAAAATTTTTTCCTGGTTTGTTGCTATTTTTGTTTTTAGAATTTGCAGTCTACTTAGAGATGAGTTGGGGTTTCATGGCATTGAGATCATAGGTACCTTCAAAAGAAGAGTGAGCATTGAAGTTACCAAGTATTATGCACCAGAATCTGTCTGTCCTTTTTGTGGTCATGGGTAGTTGCTCAAAGACATTAGGCATTTCAGGAGATTCTTTTCTTCACATAGTAGGACGTGGTGCAGATAACTTCATTCAGTGGTAGTTTTCCAGTCAGGTTAACCGTGGCTCCAGAAACTTCTCAATTTTCACACCTTGGATGGCTAATGTCTAAATGAGGCATTGTCTCATGAGCATTTTGAGGGTGCTGGGGCAACAGGAGGGCACTGAAATCTGCTACTGGAGGATCCATCTCAATGCTTCCTAATCCTGCTCAATACTGAATAGTCTGCAGAATGGATGAGCTGTCATATTTATTCTAAAACTATAGCAGATATGTGGAAGTGTGTGCTACAGGTAGATAGCACTTGAACACTTCTCAATTCTGCTTTCTATTTTCTAAGGGATAACATTGACTAAAGGCTTTAAAGTAAGCACATGAAAAAGTAATAGTATAAAAGAGGATTGAGCCAGGCAGTGGTGGTGCACGCCTTTAATCCCAGCACTCGGGAGGCAGAGGCAGGCGGATCTCTGTGAGTTCGAGGCCAGCCCGGACTACAAGAGCTAGTTCCAGTACAGGCACCAAAGCTACAGAGAAACCTTGTCTCAAAAAATAAAAATAAAAAATAAATAAAAAAGATTGTCGGTGCAACAGACAGGATCTGTCCACAAGGTGGCAGGGCATCTCCACTGCTGCAGACCTACAAAAGGACTTTTTGGTTGACTTCTGAAAGAGCAGCTGTAGTCAGCAGCCATCTGTGCAGACAACTGAGGAAGCTGCAGTGCTGTGGAGGACAGAGGAGGGGAGCTGACTACAGAAACATCTTGCCTGGCTGAAGTCCACTCTCCCCAAGGAGAGCAATGAAGACACTGACTGGACCTTTTGTCCTATGCTTGTGGCTGCAGCTGAACTGTGAGTGAGAGCTTTCGGGAAACAAGGCATTTGGCAATGTTCATTATCAGTCTTAGGAGCAGACTGGTTCCTCCAGGGTTCCTGAAATCACCATGGGAAGAAAAACAAAGTCTGGGGAGCGGTGTCCTGATGGTCTTCTTGCTCTTTCTTTATGCACAGGTGTGAGCAGAGGAGAACAGCTGGAGCAGCATCCTTCTCTCCTGAGTGTCCAGGAGGGAAGCAGTGCCGTTATCAACTGCACCTACACAGACAGTACAAATTATTACTTCTACTGGTACAAGCAAGAGCCTGGGGCAGGTATCAAGTTCCTTATGAATGTTCTTTCAAATGTGGACAGGAAAGAAGAACAAGGACTCACTGTCCTACTGAATAAGGAGGACAAACGTCTCTCCCTGAACATCACAGCTGCCCATCCTGGGGACTCAGCCACGTACTTCTGTGCAGCAAGTGCACAGTGCTCCCCAGGCACCTGCTGCCTGCACACAAACCTGAAACCACAAAGACAGACAGTTTTCCACCTTTTATATGAAAATATTTCTGAATTATATTAATAGTGGGACATTTTTAAACATCCTAAATTGCTGTTCCAAAAGATATACTGTGTGTTAGAATATTTTGTATTAACACCAGACGAAAGTGAATTCTTAGGTGTGGAGGCTCTAGAGCCAACTTTCAGGTTAGGAACTCAGTGTCATTAGCAGAGAATACTGTACTCATTTTAATGGAAAGGCCCTTAACTTTTATTACTATTTATTGTTTCTTATTAGAAAATAGTAGGCAAAAAACTAGAATATTAAATGGAAAACTTAATCCTCTAATCCTATCATACAGATAAATTATTGCTTGTGTGTGTGTGTGTGTGTGTGTGTGTGTGTATAAAAACAGCATATACCACATTAGATTCGGCCATCCACTAGGAGTTTGGGGACACACCACCTGCAGGCAGTGTCCACCATAGAATTAAAGACAATAATACACGAGGCTTTGGTGCAGTCTGCATAGAAACCACCAGAGATCAGCACTGTCCGAGATGTGGTTTCACTTGCATTGGGGGCATCTTAGTTGAACACGCCTATTTCCTCTTTAGTCACACACACAGAAGACTCCTGTTTTGCAGAGTTTTTGCCTGTGAGAGCACAGTTTCTAGAAAATCTTTCTGGAGCCCAGCCCTGTAAAATAAGGTGAACTGTAAGAAGCAAGAATCGTTTCTTTTTACCAGCACGTTTTCTGTCACCTGTTCCAATATCATGATCCCCTTGATGTTCAGTAAGTAACACTGTCTTATAAGTATTAATGACCGTCCATTTTTCCTAAAGTTAAAATGAATTCTTACCCTATAATAAAGCAATCTTTCTTTTTAGAGAAGAGTAATGGAGAATCCATAACTTAGACAGAAGGTCCAGTGACTCTCACAGAGGGGGAATCTCTGATCCTGAGCTGCAACTATCAGACTCCTTATTTAGATCCTCTGCTTTTATGGTACGTGCAATATCTCAACAAAGCCCCTCATCTACTCCTAAGAAGCTCCACAGACAACAAGAGGACAGAGCATCAAGGGTTCCATGCCACTCTCCATGAGAGCAGCAGCTCCTTCCACCTGCAGAGGTCCTCAGTGCAGCTGTGGGACTCTGCCCTGTACTGCTGTGCTCTGAGTGACACAGGGAGGGAGACTGCAGGGGAAGCTGCACACAAGCAAAGGGGGCAGGAGGGCTGAGGGGAGCGGTCCTGTGAAGGAGAGCTGTGGGCCTCCTCTCAGTAGTGTTGCCTTACCTTTAACAAGAACAGAAACAAATCATAGACACCTGGAAGGTCATGAATTAAATTATTCTGAAGCACAGTACGGTGGAACTCAGTGTTTGATAGAATCAACACTGAGATCGATAAACTCAGTGCTCAGCTAGAAAGGCTCATTAGCCCTTCAAAGTGCAGGAACTCTCACAGCAAACACATCCAGGGAAACCCTAATTACAGTTATTCATCATCTAGAAACATTACAAAACTAGATTTTTAAAATCCTCATGGAGCCGGGCGGTGGTGGCGCACGCCTTTAATCCCAGCACTCGGGAGGCAGAGGCAGGCGGATCTCTGTGAGTTCGAGGCCAGCCTGGTCTACAAGAGCTAGTTCCAGGACAGGAACCAAAAGCTACGGAGAAACCCTGTCTCGAAAAATCAAAAAAAAAAAATCCTCATGGATTTTGTGTTTCTCTCTCACACAATTAGGACCCAAATAAAGATATACAATATTTTATCTATGAATCTACTCTAGCCTTCACAACTGAGGCTCTTCTTGGTTATTAGACAGTGCCTGCATTTCTGTCACCATTTGCTGAGACCCTGGATCCTACTCCCTGTCCTCTACATAACCCCACCCCCTAATGCTCTCCTATTCCCATGTGAGCATGTCTACTCTGCTCAGAACTACATCAGGAACTGGAGGTGAAGGTGAGTCCTGCTGTAGCTCAGGACCGCCAGGGGTGCACCCACACACTGAGACAATGGGGATGTTCTATTGGGAACTCACCAAGGCCAGCTGGCCTGGATCTGAAAAAGCATGGGATAAAACCGGACTTGCTGGACACAACTTGTTTTTACAACTATCTCAACATCCTTTAATTTAGTCAAGTTGATATAAGATTAAGGGTTATGACATCCCATTCTGAGAATTTATCCCTTATGAAAAACCTCTGTTCTTCCTTTGTTTTATCATTATATAACTCTAAATTTGTCCTAAACAACACAAACTGTGCCAGGCATGGTGGCACACTCATTTAATCCCAGCACTCAGAAGGTACAGGCAGGAGGATGGCCAGCCAAACTACATAGCAAGTTCTAGGACAGTTAGAGCTACATAGTGAGATCCTTTCTCAAAGAAAAACAAATAATATAAGCTTTGAGACCAGGGTTCTCAGTCAGTAAACACGAACTTCTGAGTTTGTACCCACATGAAAAGGTTGTGACTAGTGGTGGATGCTTGTGATGTAAAATTCACATGAAAAACACACACATGCGTAAGCCTTCACACATGTGCACACACAGCATGCATACAAATATACTCAAACATACATATTTGTATATTAGAAGAATATGAGATATAGTATGGAATGCTACCCATAAGCATAATTCATCAGCTAAACATTTGACACTAATATATACCTAACACATATCCCCAAACTAAATTATTACAACTCTGCTTTACAGCAAGTATTAACATATTAATAAATTCCAAGATTTATAAGCAATGTTGTTTTTAATAAGAGATGGATTAACTCAAAATACAAAGTTTGAAATCTTTAGAGGGTAATATATGTTTTCTTTTATTAACACATTTATTGGCATATTAATAATACAACTTAAGGGCTTTCATTATGATGTTCTGCATATGCATTTAATGTGATTTGATCTAATTCACACATCTGTTACTATTATTATTTACCTTTCCACATTTTTTCTCTTTCATATTCCTAAATGTCCTACTTTTAATTTCATGTGTTTTCCCACAGATTATGCATGAAAGAAAAAGACATACAGAAAGTTTTGTAGTTAGATTATAGAAAGTTCAAGAAACAATCACTCTCATCTTAAAATCTAATATAGCAGTGAGAAGCTACAATATAAAACAAACTCTGGGGAAACTGGCACTAAATAGAAATGCAAATCAATTCATTCCAGAGAGTAGTTGATGCTGTCTCTTGAGAATCAGTAAAAAGAAGAAGGGAGCATCTATTCAGGAAGATCAGGGAAAATGAGTCAAAGGTTTAAAAAGTTTTTTGAGATATCATTATTTTAGGCTCTTTAAAATTTTATTTTTAAAATTTTTCATACATTGTATTTTGGTCATGTTCATTTTCCTCCTTCAACTCCTCCCAGAAAACCCCACTTCCTACCATCCCAGTTCATATTCTTTCTCTCTCAAAAGAAAAAAAAAAACAGATCCCAAATAAAACAAACAAAGAAAAAGCATTAAAAAAAAACGGAACAAAAGAAAACCAGCTGGAGTCTTCTTTTTGTTGAATGTTCAGCCTACCCTGATGTAGTTAAACACCCAGTGTTACTTCAATGAAGGAATCTGATTCCCCTCTCCCAGAAATTACCAATTGCAAATAATTTCTTGGTTAGAGGTGGTACTTTGTGCCCACTTCCCCTTCTCCATGCTGGTATTGTGTCTGTTTTGAATGTGTGTAAGTCTTCTCAATGCTGTTGGAGACTCTGTGGGTCTGCATGTGCACCAGACCTATTGTGAATGAAAACTCTGTCTCCTTGGCATTATCTACCACCTCTGCTATAGAAATGGATACTTTGCATTGGTATGGATCTTGGTTTATTGATACAAATTTAAGGTCAATTTTGTTATACTGTTTGTATGTATTTCTGATCTTGTATTGTGATTAAGGTATTGTGTTTGTCCATCACTTTTTAAAATGTAATGTATAATGTATAATTAAGAAATATAGGTTAATAGATAATCATCTATAATAGTCAAACTCATAGTCATGTTAGTTAGATTTTCTAGACATACAGAGACATATTTCATTTAGATAGGTATTCTTCAAATCTTTCAGAGACCTTCAGAATATGGCATTTAACTGTTTTAATACCTTAGGACCTTTCATGACAATGAAACACAACTGCTCCTGGCAGCACCAATAAATTCAAGAGAAAAATGGGCATCAAAGAGGTTCCTTATAGAGTTTGTTAGCCATTTTGGCAAGAAACTATTCTTGCTTGGACTGCTTGATGGTATGTTGGATGAACATGACATGCAAGACCCACAAAGAAATGACTGCTGAACTTACCTAAAGGTAAAACAATCCTTTAAGGTTCCTGCTTTATGAATGAGTCTGCTAGACATTCTACAGGACACACAAAAAAAGTGACTGACAAACTGTCAATAGAGGTGGAACTGTCTTTGAAATTTTCTGCTTCATGGAAAAGTCTTCCAGATACTATGGGCCTGTAGGCTGAAGATGGAACTTTGGGTGACTGTCCAGGCAGTGAGATGTCGCTGTTAATTCTAGAGTTTTTGGAAACTGCTTACAATGAACTTATTGTTTACTTAGGTAATATTATATACTTCTGGAGTCTTTGATGAAGTTGAAGAATTGATAGTTATAGTTTTTCTTAGTTATATAACAGATAAAGTAGATATAAATATTGTAACTATAATTCTTGCTTGATACCTGTTTTGTTATATGTAATTTTACTATGTTAAAGTTAAAACCTTCCTTTTTATTTAAACAGAAAAGGGAGGTGATGTGGGATTCCCCTCTGTATGCTGTGAATACACTTAGTTAATTAATAAAGAAAACTGTCCTGGAATGTTGATAGGGCAACTGATTTTTTTAGATTATCTTGTATCCTGCCACATCACTGAAGGTATTTATCAGGTGTAGGAGTTCTTTAAAAGAGTTTTTGGGGTCACTGATGTACACAGTCATATAATCTGAAAA